CCCATGTTTCTAGTTGAAGAAAATTGTGCAAATGAGCAAGCAAGATTGCAAAGTGAAAACTTTCTGCCACTAAGATGTAAAACAGGAGTTGGAGGAACTATTAATTTGAATAATTTTGGTTCCATTTCTTTTATACTAAGTAGAGTAAAGAGAGACAAATAAGAAAGGGGAAAAACAGAATATGAATCATCCCTCACTCTGTTTGAGTCAATTTCTAAACATTCCTCAAGTGCTGAACAAGAAAAGAAGAATCTTGGACCAAAATATACCTGGATACAATGGAGGAGATGTCAAGAGACATGGTCAGTGCAAAATTAAACTCTGAGCTGTAAAAAAATGTTGAAATTGATGCTCAAGAATTTACATAAATGGGTTGTTTGGTGAGTGACATTATTGGAGAGCTGAAAGGTGGGGTGGGGTGGGGTGGGGTGGATATAAGCAGAGCAACTATTCACCCCTTTATTAAATCAGAGAGACAACATACCAAAAGGATAGGCACTGCCAGCTCGTATCATTATCATATTGGCTCTTACTTCTTATATTCTAGAGAGAAAGTATCCAAAATTCGGTATGAATTAGTAGTTTTACCTTGGAATTATTGATAGACTTAAAAATATTTTTTTACTTGATTAATTGAACTTAAATATAACTCCGATCTTGTAACATGAGAGAAATACACTCCTAAATTTTTGCCAAATTTAAGGGTATTTTTAACACTTCTCTCAACTTTTTATTAAGAGTTTATGCTTCTACAAGAGTTTGCGACCTCTTTGTTATGTCATGCGGCAGACCAATGGTGTATTTAAATTTAGTTAGTCAAATGATAGTGTTTTTAAGACTATCAATAGTTTGGAGTCGAACTAATAAGTTGTGTCAAGTTTAAATTATGACAATATATACATCAAAGCTTATCATAATATAATTACTAATCAAAGTTGAACATAAGGTCCACCTATCATTGTCAAATAGATTTATATAAATGAAAAACGAAAAAAAAATACCATTTCTACAAGTAAGATTAAATATTAATACTGTAAAGCTTCAAATAATACAATTACTAATCAAAGTTGAACATAAGGTCCACCTATCATTGTCAAAGTTAAAGATCATTATCTTGTAGTAGCACACAATGTAACGCATATGACTTATCCAAAATCTTGAGAAATTCAAATAAAACATAAACATATATAAAAATAGATTTATATAAATGAAAAACGAAAAAAAAAAATACCATTTCTACAAGTAAGATTAAATATTAATACTGTAAAGCTTCACTCAAGAAAATAAAAGAAATTTATATAAAAGAAAAACGAAAAAAAAATATCATTTCTACAAGTAAGATTAATAATGTAAAGCTTCACTCAAGAAAATAAAAGAAAGCAGTAAGTTATGAAGCACGTGAAATATGATGGTGGTTCATAGAAGACTGAACTTGACTTAGGAAGAAAATAAATAAAAGGGTTATAGTAGGTGGTGATGATAAGAATTTGGAAAGCTCCGTACCACCCTACCTCCATTTCTTACAATTAGTTAACACTAATAGTAATAGAGATGGTCAAATTAAGGATTTGTTTGTACATAAAAAAAATAATTATTTATTTATTTTTGTTAATGTATTTGAAAATTAGTGTATACTTATAAAGCATTCAATACTAAGGAGTTTTTCATTCCTGATGTATGCTAGAAGTTAAATTTTTCTTTGTATTCAAGTTTATTAGTTGATCAATAAGAGAGTACATGTTTTTTAATTTCATTATTATATTCTTGTCCTTTTATATGTAGTTTGATTCTTCTTTAATTTTCACGCGTTAAAGAATTGAGATTTAAAAAAAAATTGTGGAAATTAGAGTGGAACCTGTAAAGATATGACATTTGAGTTTAACTCAATCACAAAAGTTATATTATGGGGGGAGGATTGTTGAAGTCCATATAAGGAGACTACCAGTTCATTTTCCAACTAATGTGAGACTTTTATCCACTCCAACAGAACCTAGGACCTCTGTTAAAGTATGACAATTTAATGTTATATCAAATTAAAGTATGTGATTTTATCTATAATCTAAATTCACCATTCTTTTCTTCTAGAAACTAGAAAGATTAGAAGGAAACTCTGTGAAGTTAGTTTGGTAATTGCGTGCGGACAATAACGAAAGGAAAGGATATTTCCGAACTACACAGACCTACGTGTGTGTATATATATATATATATATATAATTTTAAAAAAAGGTATTTTAGAATACCTATATTAACCAATGATGTATTCGGCTTATCAGTCTTGAACCTTTGACCCAGTGATCAGGAGAAAACTCCTCAACCTCGTAATTTTAAACGTATCATGTTAAAAGTTAGAATTAAGGAGTTGATAAAAAGAAAACATGCATTTTTTAAAACTAAAAAAAGTGAGACAAATACATTGAAAAAAAGAGAAAGTATCAAAATTATTATAAGGATTTATGCATCGAATTGTTTTTTCTATTGGGTTCAAAATTAAGTTATAGTCAGATAATAATTAACTAAGATTACAATCTTGAGACTATTATCAAGATATATCATCTATCCCACATTTTATGGAATTAAGAATTTCATAATTATGATATGAAAATTTATCTCAATTTTAATTAATATCCTCAACCATACATATTCCAAATTTTATGCTAAGCTAACTCACTCCTCCAACCAAAAAGTGATCAATTCATGCTATCTTTACCTTAACACGATATTTGTATATTACGTATCTAATTTAACCTAAGCCTACAAGTTTTTTCAAACTATAAAAATAAAAAAGCATACGATTAAGAGACTAACCTCGAAAATCTTAATAATTGTATTCGAATAAGGTGCAATTTCACTATTCAAATGCCTAAATTGAAAATTTCATATCTAGCCTTTTTAAATTGGAAACTACAGATTGGACCTAGTAATATAACTCAAAATTGAAATATGATTAATTATCAATTTTAATTCGTGGCCACTAATAAAACTCTATTAAGGAGTTTGGAGTTTGACTGGTGGTTGACTTTTCCGTTGATTTTCACTTGTCTTAAAATTATGAAAATGGTTTGTCTAGCCTAGTTAATTTATATTGGGGAAAAGGTATGAGTAGATTTACCATGATAATGGATAAAAGGTGAGGAAATGTAACAGTGACATACATGAATATACACTACTATATATGGAGATATGCATGATTACACAGGTGTTGTCTATTATTAGTGTAGTGAGATACATGGATATACACTATTATACACGAGGATATACATGGATAAATAGGTTTATTTTTTTAACAAGTATAACAATGACATACGGGATATAAATTGTATATATATATATATATTGAACTCATGATTCATGAGATAAAATGTTTGGTGGTATTTTTGGACTAAGCTTCTACAATTTTTTTATTTCTTTTTCTAATTCAAATGTGAGAGTAATTCTATCAATTCGTTGTTGATTCACCCTCATCTATAGGGATGAAAATGGGGTGGGGCGGGAGTGAGGTGGGGCGGGTTAGAGCCTTTGCGGGTGTGGGGTGGGGCGGATTTGAATATATCTTTTCAAAATTTATGCGGGGCTGGTTGCGGGTTGGAATAGAAAATCTTTTAAATTCGTAATTCACACAAACGAAATCTCACTGCTTGCATTTAAATTTGAATGGCTAAGAAACTAGAAAGAAGAAAACATGATCTCACTGCTTGCATTTAATTTTTTGTTATTACATTAAATGTAACCAATTCAAAATTACCAAAAAAAATGTTGCTGACATATCTAAAAGAGTTATTAAATTGCATTGTAATGTTAGAATAATGTTGTAACATATTACTTTAAGCAAGTTAACAGCTAACAAAATTTTAAGTTCAAAATTTACTGAGCCTATTATTTGAAATGTTTTTTACAAATTATGTGGATGGGGCAGGGTGGGGAGGGTTTTTGCGGGGCGGGCGGGTTGAAAACAACAAAATATGTTATGTGGGGTGGAGCAGGGCGGATTGGGATCTTAGTGGGTTTAAGCGGACTTGTCCCGCACCCGCGCCTCCCGTCCCATTGCCATCCCTACTCATCTATCTATTAGAGACAATAGGCCCTTCACTTTCAATCATAAGGTTGTGATTTCGAATCACCAAAAAAGCAAAAAGGTAAGAGCCTGAGAGAGGGTTAAAAGAATTGAAGAGATGTATTTAATCATGCTAATACTTTCAAATTTTAACTGCTAAATTTAACTATTGATCTTTAAGAAAAATTAACATTAACTTTATTGAGTATTAATGCGCAAAAGTTATAAATGGAGTTTGGCATTCCAAACTTTATACATAATCATTGAAGTCCTATAAAAAATAAACTTAGCTTTACATAGAAATGTTTTCTCTTTTTGTTCCGGAAAAATGGATAATTCCACTTATCCATGTTGAAGAAATCCTTCACTTGTCGAGGTAGATAGACAGAGGAAGTTAGGGTACTAAATTTCATCTTTGATTTAAATCTTATCAATAGTTATTAAGAGTGATCGATATATACATGTCAATGACCCCTTTCTTCTTTTTTGATTGCAGTTTAAAAACTCGAAAAGAAATACTTTTAAATGTTGTAATCTTAAACTGAAAATATGTATAACATATCAAAATTTCATTTAATATTATGATATTAAACATGTTATTTAGGATATTAGAATTAAAGAGTTGACAAATTAAGATAAAAATATTTTTTTTAAAAGAAAAGTAAAATAAACAAATTAAAATTGGAGATCAATATTTATTAATTAGTACCTTAGTAATATAATAGCTCAAATAGGAGAACAACAATCGAGGATTCGTAAAACAGGAGAAATGCTAGCCCATGAACCTACATTTTGCCTCAATATATTTGACCTTTTCCTTTATGATTCCTTCAGCTTATACATCTAAGCATATTAGTTTAAACTTAGCACACATAGAGCTAGATTACAACTAGCTTGATAAGATATATAGTCAATTTTGTACAATTACATAACAAAACAACAACACCCCTTATTATAATTATTACTCCAACAAAGTGAAGTACTTAACTTGCTGGTACGTACTCTAGTACTAATAATCAAACAGCAATATCATGACGAATATGGCGAAGCAGCACCGGAATCACAACATCCGGTGAGCTGAGCTGCGGAAGATGTCCTTCCGTTGACATAACCTCAACGATAGATTCAGACCCGAGATTCTGGCTGAGATATTCGGACACCACCACGGGTACGGCCAAGTCCTTCATGCTCTGAATTATGTGAAATGGAACAGACACATGAGGCAACAAATGCCTTAAATCACTTAGGAATATGATTTGTATTACGCTTAGGGCAATGTCTGGTCTCATGTTGAAAAGTGTCCTGCTGAATTCCTGGATTGCTACAGAATCCATGTCCCCTCCAACAACTAACGGTGCAAATCCTGAACACCATGATTTGTAATTTGTTTTTACTGCTTCAAATAATTGATCAAGCTCTTCTCGTTCAAATCCTCCGTAGTACTCCGAGTCGTTCAAATACCTAAAAGCAGTGACGAAACCAGGAATTAAAAATAATTTGTGACCTATGTACTTTATATATACATGTTCAATTGACCATGTATGCAGTTACGCAACTGTGTAAACGAAAATCATAAAAATTAGTATGTCGCCACATGCACATCTAAGCTTACAAGAATTTTGGAGGAAATTAAAATGCTTCATACTTCACTCCGAGACTTTTACCACTTCATCGTAACTTTTGGTGGTTCGAATCGAGTTTTTGACAGTTCCCCTACCTAATAACCACTTAAACAAATACAAAATTGGACCAAAAATAATTGCAACAACAAAACAAGGCAATGGGAAAACAAAATTGCAGATGTAGGCACTGCTACAGAACATTTCCCCAAAAACTGTTTTATTAGGTGAGGTAGGCCTGTAAATAATTAAAAGGAAAAAGATAAAAGGAGTATATAAGAGGTGGTGATTGAAAACTTGATTCAAATTAAGTAGAATTGCAATCATAATCTTTCCATTTTTGGTCCTCCTTTTTGTTTCTTCTTTATTTCTGGAAAAAAAAATAAAGGACTTTTCATGTAAAACTTACATGGCTTTTTAGCCCTTCCCTTTCTTTTTTAGTAAGTAAGACAAGACATGATGACCCCTCTTTAGGTTATCAATGGAATAGTTAAAAAAAAAATATATATATATCATTCACCCTGGGTAATGATATAAAATCAATAAATACATGATATCTATTTGGGATAACATCCACCATTCGAATATCTAGTTTATCAATTATGATAAAAGTATACCACATATACAATCAATTATGTATGTGTAGTATATGTATTAAAAAAATTATATACTCTTTGTTTAAAAAAGAATGACTCAGTTTCCTTTTTAGTCTGTTTTAAAAAGAATGATTCCTTTCTTTTTTTGGCAACACTTTAATTTTAACTTTCCACGTGACATGTTTAAGACCGCTAGATTAAATGACATTTTGGTACATTTGACATAAGATTAAAAAGTCTTTTTTCTTTTCTTAAACTTCATTTCAAGTCAAACTAGATCATTTTTTTTGAAACGGGGATTACTAGTCTATATTACATTGAATAGATATTTTGTAAACTTGATAATCCAAAGATACAGACTGTAATTTTCTCTATTTCTAGTATGAGTTAATTATGTATCCTTCCTAATATTAATCACTTATTTAATCACGAAAAATAGCAGGGTTTTACACTCAGAAGGGAAGGAAATAAACAGAACAGTAGAAGTAAATTAGCAGCAAATTGTACTCCCCTTCATCAAAATTTATGAGATACTCCATTTTGTTTCTCAAAAGTTAATTTAATTAATCTTTGAAATTACATTAGATGAACTCAATAGTTTAAAACCAAAACTAAAATTAAAATATAAAGTAGAATCTCTCTCATTGTCATGTTTTAAAACACAGATCAAAATTTATACAATTTAAATCTAAAAAAATCACATAAATTGAAACAGAGAGAAGAGTAAAAATTGTACCTTGGAGAGGCAGATACAGTGACAATTTTAGTGAAAAGATCAGGACGAGCAATGGAAGCAATAGCACCAATCATAGCAGAAACAGAGTGGCCGACAAAAATGCAACTGCGTATTTGAAATTCCTCTAATATCGCAATCACATCATAAGCATATCCTTCTAACGTTGAGTAGCGGTCGAAGTCAAAGTAATCTGGATTAGTTGTTCCAGCTCCCATATTATCAAACAAAACAACTCTATACTCGTCAACCAAATGTGGCACCAGATGCTTCCACACCGACTGGTCAGTCCCGAATCCATGTGCTAACACTACTGTCTGCTCACCAGAACCTAAAATCTTCACGTTGTGTGCTTCTTCAACTATCCCCATTTTAATTCTCAGAGGATTTGATTGGGTGGGAGTCGGTTTGTGGTTTTTGGGTACTTCTGTTGGTGGGAATTAAATGGGATAACGTGGCCGTGGTGCGGACTATTTAAAGCTTAATTTCCCTTGATACGGCTTAGAAAAGGATTTACTTTATTAGTCAAGTTTTAATGTCAGTATCAGATCCTAAATAAGGGGAAAAAAAGACATTTTATAGTATAATAATATATATGCAGAAAGCTTGATATGCAAAGGTGTATGCAATTTTATTTGATGAGGGTAAAATGCACTTAATATTTTATATGTGATATAAATTTATTTATGTGTTGTAAATATATTTGTATCTTGAATTAGTTTGTAATAAAGAAAATAACTTACAAGTAGCTAGTTCATTTAAACAACTTGCAAGTAGTTATTGAGATATCTTTTTGAAAAATAAATAAATTATGATAGCTTTTTGACAAGGCTTCTATATATAACAACTTTTTAAGATGCAATTAAGCAAACAATTTGAAAATGGTATAGTTAAATTCTGTGTAAAGTCTTAATAAGACTTTCTTGAAAAGTCTTGCAATAATTTATTTTTTTTCTATAAATAGAAAGTTAAATCAGTTTATTCATACATCAAATTAATCGAAGAAAAACAGTATCTCTTATCTATCTCTTGTTGCCTTGTATTTTAATGTTATTGATTCCTAATGGAATAATTTATGGAAGTTTTAATAAATACAAAATTATGTATTCAGAATTTCAAAAATATATGTATTATGCTTAGTAAAAAATATTAAAGTTCAAAAATAAGGCGTTGCCTTTGTTAGAAAAGGATTTACTTTATCATACAATTCAAATTTAATCAAGTTAAGAGGTAAGTATCAGATACTAAGTAAGGGGAAAAAAAAAGACATTTTATAGTAATAATATATATGCAGTAAGCTTGAAATGCAAAGGTGGATGCAGCTTTATTTGATGAGGTTAAAATGCACTTAATATATATTTTTATGTGAAATATAAATTTATTTATGTGTTTTGTAAATATATTTGTATTGTGAGTGTTTATTTATTTAAATATATTTATATGAAGTTTGTAATAAAGAAAATAACTTGCGAATAGCTAAAGCAAGAATAGTTCATTTAAACAACTTGCAAGTAGGTTATTTAGATGTCTTTTTGGAAAAAAATTATGATAGCTTTTTGAGAATGCTTGTAATAACTTTTGAAGATGCAATTAAGCAAACAATTTGAAAATAGTATAGTCAAATTCTGTGTAAAGTCTTAATAATACTTTCTTGAAAAGTCGTACAATAAATTTTTTTTCTATAAATAGAAAGTTAAATCAGTTTATTCATATATCAAATTAATTGAAGCAAAATAATCTCTCTTATCTACCTCCTGTTATCTTGTATTTTAATGTTATTGATTCATAATGGAAAAAATTCTGAATATTTTCTTTTTGGCTTCCCATTCGGGTATCTGAAGTTTATATTGGAGCTCTAATTAAATTCAAATCGCATATTGCAGAACCTATTCGGAGATAGCGCTCCTAACGTGATTATATTGTAGATTTGTATCTTGGATTTTTTTATTTTTTTTTTGTAGTTTGTGGTCTCTGTCCAAAGAAAGAGAGGAGGGATGTGTGATGACCACAACCGCATATTTTGGAGTGTTATCTCTTCTTCCTGATAAGATTTTCAGCATTTGACGCCTTTCTTATAATTCTATGGTTTAGTAGGAGTGTTAAATAGACGGGTTATATAAAAATTATGCTAATTAAAATAAATTATGTTAATAAAGTACTCGAAATAAGTTTTATGAAATAGATTATAATCCAACGTGTAAAATTTTTTTTTTTTCTTTTATGGTTTGTTTTAAGTTGTTTATAAGAGGCCGTTTGATAGGATATATGAGAATAGTATTATATATGATGTATTAATAATGTTTGTATTAGCTATGATAAAATTATTTTTTTGTATAATATTTGATTTGATATATTAAAGATGACATGCATTACATAATTTCTATAAAAAAAAATATTTGCTTACAAGTATATCTCCACAAATATGGTAAGGATGTGGAGGGGCAATTGTGTCTTTCATCAATTCAGTGCATGCATTAAATCGTTTGTATTATTAATATCATAGATTTTTATGTATTAGTTAAATATATTTTAATATCATAGATTTTTATGTATTAGTTAAATATATTTTAATATAATTAGTGTATTAGGTATACATAAGTTGAAAAAATATAGAAAATATTAATAATAAACAAAAAAATTATAATATTAATTATAAACAAAAAAAAAATAATAGGACATCATTTTTAAAAAAAAATTATTACAAGAATATGTTAATAAATTTTCTCAGGTCCATTTGAGTTATTTATTAGCCTATTTTTTAAATGAGTTGAACTATGTGAGTTAAAATAGATCGAGCTATTAAATAAATTAGTTAAAATTTAAGTTAATTGAGCGAATTATAATTTTTGTCTTAATTTAATTCATGTGATATTAGAGTATTTAACTTGATATCAAGTTTAAGAAATTTTTTTTAAAAAAATTGTGGTCTAAAATATTTTTTGATCATTTGTATGACTATAAATCTTTTAATTAAGGGTAAAATAAAAATTTTAAGTCAAATTATTTTCAATGATAGAAAAATAATATTCTTTTTGGACTGATCAAAAAGAAAAACGTGTCACATTATAAATTGAGACAAAAAGAGTACTATTTATTACTCCCTCTATCCCTAATTACTTGTTTACTTTTTCTTTTATAGTTGTCCCTAATTACTTGTCCATTTTGACAAATCAAGAAAGGATAAAAAAATTTTACCTATTATACCCTCAATTAAATGATTAATTACTTTGAAAAACGTAGAACTTTTCATCCACTTCATAAATTAATAGGGGTAAAACGATAAACTCACTATGTCATTAATTGTTTTCTTAATAGGTGTGTCAATTCAAAAATTGACAAGTAATTAGAGACAGAGGGAGTACTTACTCCCTTTGTCTCAATAAAACTTTTTATTATAATCTATCCTTAAAAATAATATATATTTTATTTGATAAATACATACTGACACTATTAATATTTTTACAAATATAAGGTCCTACTTATTTGCAAAAAAATCAACAAAATATACTTTTGTAAGAAGAATTTTGAAATATTATTAAAAAAAATTATATTTCTCAAATTTTTGAATTCAATTAAACTATATCATATAAATTAAGATAAAGAAAGTACTGATTAAAGATTGCGATGGAAAAGTTGCTAATTAATTAGTAATTCCTAAATCACTTATACTCATGGGTTGTAGAATTTTTTTGTTTACAGTAAAAGATGGGGTGCATAAATAAGTTAGAAGAGAATTAGCATAATGAGTTTAGTGTTTTCATAGTCATCAATTAAGTGACAATGAAATTGTGCTAGCTCTTTCAAACAAGAGTCCCAAATTTTGTCAAAAGTGTAATGGGATAATGATAAATATTTTCTCTCCTCACTTTTAATTCATGTTATGTTTTTCCAAAAGTCAATTTGAGTAATTTTAAAGTTAAATTAGATTATATTAATTCGATATTTCAATCAAAAAATTTAGATATTTAAAAATTATACAGAAAATATTATAAATAACAATTTTTTATATATCAATATAATGAAAAAATACATCATAAAATATTAATCAAAATTATTATTATTTCACGCTAAAAAGAAAATTATGATAATTAAAAGTGAACGGAAATAGTATCTGTTTATTAGAGGGTTAATCTAAGGTAGTCGTTATTTTTCCTGTCAAAATTGCCTTTAAAAGCATTAATAACTACTTTCAGTTGTGAAAAGAAAGGCGAACAGCTAGCATTATTAGATATGTTGAAATACCATCAACCAATTAATGCTTCCTAACTACTTCCCGTCATTTTACTTTTCATAAAAAAATTTGTCATACGTCTCGAGAAATTATGACTTATATTTTTATATCTAATTATTTAAAATATTTTTTTCCTTAATAATAGTTTTTCTATATTTTTATTTACAAATAAATAAAATAATTTAAATAGTCACAGTATTAAAATATGTATATATTTCCCTTACTTGAGTTTTTATATTAATCAATTAATATATAGAGATAATTTTATACCTTTTATAAATAGCAAACATAATAGATATAATAAGGTTTTATAGTTATAGTTTCGATAATTGCGCTTCATAACTATATTTTCGTTAATTACGCTTCATAGCTATAGATTCATTTGCTATGGAGGTTGCGGTTGTATATTTCTGTATGTTTGTATATTTTGCTTGTGAATATACAAATAATGTAACTAGTAAGTACTCCCTCCGTCCACTATTGTTTGACAGGGTAAGATCATGCACAACCCTTAAAAAAAAAATTAATATAATGTGCAATTTGACTAATATAACCTTACTATCAATCATTATTAAAATGGTTTGTAATTTTCGAAAACCGTAAAAACAACTTTTTTAACATTAAAGTAGTCTTGTAACTTTAGAATGACTATTTTTTGAAACTAGTAGTTATGTATTTCCTCTGTTTCAAAAAAAAAAAGACTCAATTTCCTTTTTAGTCTGTTTCGAAAAGAATAACCCATTTCCTTTTTTAAGTAACACTTTAACTTTAACTTTCCACGTGGCATGTTTAAGGCCACAAGATTAAAGGACATTTTGGTACATTTGGCATAACTTTAGTTTAGAACCACAAGATTAAAAAGTCTTCTTTCTTTTCTTAAACTCCGTTCCAAGTCAAACTAAGTCATTCTTTTTTAAACGGAAGGAGTAATTATTAAGGGCAAAATTGGAAAAAAGTGACTAATTGTTTCTTGATTGTTTAAATTGACAATTAATTTTGGACAACTATTTTTAGTATACCTGACAAACAATAGTGGACGGAGGGAGTATATACAAATTCTATATTTACACATTTATGAATTTTTCAGAACTTCATTTGTATATTTCACTTGTCAATATACAAATGAGATATTTTATTATTAATTGTATACAAATAGTTAGGGTAATGATATACAAAATTCTGAATTTA